CCATCCTGCACTGCCGGATAGGCCATCCCAAGGCAGAAAAGAGCAGGAATAAAGGGAGACAAGGAGGAGGAGAGGAGAGTCTGGATGGCTAAGAGGAGACTGCAGTGATTGACTGACTAGGCCAGAAGCAGGGCTCCCAACCCCCTGGCTGCCCAGGCTCAGCCTGGTAGGAGAGGCCTCGAATCAGGTTTTAATATCGGCCACTGGAGAAGCAGCTAAATGTTGGAGGAGGTGATGGACTGTCTACCCTTGTGTTTGATTGTGGGTGGCATGCTTGGGTTAGAGATGGATGGCTCTAACACCCAGAGTAGTTTAAATGCCCAATTCCCATGCAGCCATTCTGCAAATGGATGTTGAGTTCCTGTGTGATCTACTCCCCTAGCTGCAGAAGAGCAAGTCAGAGAAAAGTCATTCTTTAGTCATCCCGGGAAACAAACGCATCTATTTCGCTTCACAGGTTCAGGGGGCAAAGTCCTTCAACAGTGCGTGAAGGGGCGTCAAGCGTGAGTCATGTTTGCTGGTTTCACTAGCCTGCTACGCCCAGACGCTGGGCGCACACACACAAGGACCCAAGAACTCCAAACGCAGGGAATCTCCCCTCCCTATCCCTGAGGAACGCATACTAGCAGGCAGGCAAACCACAATCTGCCAGTACGGGCCCTTCTGAACAGGCGCACGCCTTAAGAGTAAGCAAGGACACTAATTGTCATCAGCAAGCAGGCATGGAATCTCTTCTAAGCAGAAAAGCTGAGGAAATCACACTTCTTACCCTGGCAGGCTGGAGAGGGCAGGGAGGGAAAGCCCACCCAGGTGCTCAGGAGTGGCAAGGACCACCATCCTGTTCCTGCACACCTGGGGCCCTCTCTTTGTGTCTCTAGGTGTGGGCCAGTTTACAAGCAAAGCAGTTTCCAGAGCAGGCCTGTGCTCCCGGTCTGTTCTGAATCAATCTTACTGTACAGGTCTATGTTCAATTTTCCTACAATAAACTCCCTTAATAGAGAGAAAAAAATTTTTTTTAAAAAGCAGCCAATCTCCATATCCCCGAGTCAACTTGGGAAAAGCTACCAAGTCTAAGGCGTGTGCGCTTAGGTGTGGGTGGTAACAATGGTGGCAGTTTGAGGCACCCTATAGCTTCCATTCTCTCCACACCTCCAAATTCATTCAGTTAGCCAAGTTAACTTTAAGAACAAATTATATGATTAAAAGGACTGACTTGTTGGGGTAGCGGGGAAGCCAACAGTTTTTTAGCCAGAGGGGGCATTCATTGGTTAAGAAAGGGTCGCCCAACCCTCCTCCCCGGGGTGTTGGTGGCAACATCTTTAGTCCCAGCACTGAGGAGGCAGAAGCAGTAGAGCTCTGTGAGTTCGAGACCAGCCTGACCAGCCTGGTCTATGGCGTGAGTTCCAGGGCAGGCTCCAAAGCTACAGAGAAACCCTGTTTCAACCCCCACCCCCCAAAAAAGAAAGAAGGAAGGAAGGGGGGAGAGGGAGCGAGAGGGAGAAAGGAAGGAAAGAAGACAGAAAGGCAGACAGACAGACAAGGTTGTCCCTATGAGCCCCAGTTTGTCTGTGAACTCCTGGTCTTCCCGCCTTGAGCTTCCTGGTCCTGGCTTTACAAGTATGTGCGCCACCATGCCCAGCTCGCAATTCTTTTACTAAACAATTAACTCAATCACTACAGACTAGCAGTCTTAGAACTGTGATATCGCCTCAAGAATAAATATTTTATGTGTGACCTGTGACCCAAAACTTTTCTATCTCTCATTGAACAAAGCGACCACATGAGCCAGGAGCGGCAGGACCCTGGGGTGGTAGGCCAGGCTGAGATCCCAGCACTTGAGTGGTAGAGACCAGAGGACTACGTAGGGGTTTAAGGCTGGCCTAAGCTGCCCAATGTTCAAGTTTGAGGCCAACCAGAAGCAACGTGAGAGTCCCTGTCTCAAGAAGCTAAAACCAGAAAGGACCATTTGGTGTGCAGTACTTACTTCCCGCAGGAGAAAGTCTGTCTGACATCAGCGCCATGCTCAGACTATGGTGTGGACCCAATAAAACCACTGTTCTTCTCCTGACTTCAGGCAAACCGTATCATCCTCATCACCTGAGGGCACGCACGGACCTCGCTTGTTACTCATCACCTGAGGGCACGCACGGACCTCGCTGTTACTCTTCAATGTCTCAGCAGTGGGAAGCTGCATCCCAAAAGGGTCCCCAAAGGGAGGGTGCCAACCTGGCTGGCTCACCCACTCTCCAGATTCACAAAGACAGACGGAAACATCACCGTCCAACTCTAATGGAGGAAACCAGTGTCCCCACCGCCGCCTTGCGAATCTACGCATGATCTACCTCTCTTACTGTGGCTTTCGTTTTGTTTATGAGCACCTAGCAGTAGGTTTAATTTAATCTGCTTTGAGAAGTTTGGTAGGAACTGCCCTTTACTCTTTCTCAGATTAACTGTGAGTTCCCAAAGAAGTGAAACAAAGAAGGAAGAGTCTTGCTTAAGGTTCCAGAAACGGGTGTGTGTGTGTGTGTGTGTGTGTGTGTGTGTGTGTGAGAGTGAGAGAGAGAGAGAGAGAGAGAGAGAGAGAGAGAGAGAGAGAGAGAGAGAGAGAGAGAGAGAAGGCTCAGGAGTGGAGCTGGACCTGTCTGTCATTCTGATTTCAACTGTCAGGACAAGGCAGAAAGCCAATGGGAGGGGGAATGTGAGGAGACGCTAGACAGGCTCACATTCATCATCCCCTCTAACTTTAGTAAAGAATTAGGACGAGAGATGGCTCCTGCTCACGCACTCATTCCCTGAACTCACCCTGAGTGGTCCTAGCCTGTCCCTCCACCCGCTGACCCTCTGGCTTGAGTACAACTGTAATCAAATGTTCATATCCTCACATGAACACACACACGGAAACACACAATTCAGAATTGAGTGAATCATAGCTGGACGTTGGTGGCGCACGCCTTTAATCCAGGCCTGGTCTACAGAGAGTTCCAGGACAGGCTCCAAAGCAATACAGAGAAACCCTGTCTCAAGAAACAAAAATGAGTGAATCTTTTAAAAAGTTTTTAAAACTGGGGCAGACCCAATACAAGTGTATGGCTTGGGAAAGTTGCACTGTGGTCTGGTGTGGTGGCATATAGCTTTAATCTCAGCATTTGGGGGGCAGAAGCTGCTGAAATCCCTCCCTATGAGGCTGAGGTTGGCCTACATGGAGGGTTACAAGACAGCCAGGGCTACATAGTGAGACACCCAAAAATAAATGTGACTGCTTAGAAATTCCAAAAAAAAAAAATGTGACTGCTTAGAAATTCTGTAATGGATCAGAGAGAAGTCTTGCCCCCCCCTCCCCCGCCTTCGCTGTTTTGATTTAGAGAAAACCACTTAAGAGCTGGCTTCGACACGACTGAATTCCTTTGACACAAACTCCCCAAGTCTCTGAGACCTATTTTCCACAGAAATGCTAGTTACGAGTTTCAGTCAGGATTAATTTAGACTTTTTTATTCCTACATGTATCAGAATCATTCATGGAGGGGAAGCTCTTCTATACCCATTCCCAGAACCCTCTGAGGACATCTGGTCTCATTAAAAGATCAAATAGATACTCCAGATTCGTTAGTTGTTTAACAAAGTGGGAATTATTTTCTCACTGTACTCACATTTGTGAGACAGATACTCCAGCCACAGGTGATGCAGATCAGAGGGAAACGGGGCCTCTTTCCCCCTCCCCCACGAGGGTGCCTCTCTTCGGCAGGATGGGGAGGTGAAGTTCATCCTGAGCATAGGCCAGTTTGAAACACGTTCAGAGGGTTATATCTCCTATCTGTGGCTGGCATGTGACCTGGGCTTCAATCGCTTTCTCTTTCTGCCCATCGTCTCTGGCAGAAGGAACACATGCTGCACATGCCTTGGCCCCAGCTGAGCGCAGAGTCGGGGGCTGGCTGGCCTGTACCAACTAGGAGCCTGAGGGCCTCAGAGGGAGCCCTTAGAGAGCTTGTGTAAGGCCTAGAAGCACTGCCAGGTAGATCTCCACAGAATGGTTCCCTAGTGGCTGGAAAGAATTATTGAGGCTCTCTAACGTGGTGACTCATTCCCTCCCTCCCCTGAGTCATCTGGGCACAGGGAAGCCTGTCTTGCTGATTATTAGTGATTTAATGGTGGTGGTGATGGATTTCTGATAACCCAGAGATCCGCTTTAGCACTAACTGTCAAAGGTCTGCGGTCTGGAAGTCAAAGGTCACCAATCTTGCGTGCATGTGTCTGGCTGTGAATGTGAGTGTGTGTCTGTGTGTGAGTGTGTATTTGTGTATGAGTGTGTGGCTGTGTGTCTATGTATGAGTGTGTGTGAGTGAGTGTGTGTGAGTGTGTCTGTGTGAGTGTAGTTCTGTGTCAGTGTGAGTATTTGTGTGAGTGTCTCTGTGAGTGTGTGTCTGTGTATGAGTGTGAGTATGTATTTGTGTGTGTGTGGCTGTGTGTCTATGTATGAGTGTGTGTGAGTGTGTGTCTGTGTGTGTAGTTCTGTGTGAGTGTGTGTATATTTGTGTGTGTGTGTCTGTGTGTGTGAGTGTTTCTCTGTGTGTGAGTATGTGTAGTTGTGTGTGTCTGTGTGTGTCCACACAAAGTCCCCTTCTCTGACCCTGAGTCTCAGCTCTGCCTTCACCAGGGACAAGCCATGCTACACTCTGGAAGGACAGCCCAGCAGACAGAGCGTTTGCTTCTGGCCCCCCAGAAGCCATGTAAAAAGCTGAGTGGCTGAGAGACGCAGGCTGCCATCCATGCACAGGCGCAAAGAGGCAGAGGATCTGCAGCAAGCTGGCCAGCCAGACTCGCTGCTTTCGCAGCAAATCACTGAGAAGCTCTGCCTGGATACAGAAGTTGGAGAGTGGAGAAATGATGGAAGACAGTGGACCACGAACACATGCAAGCACGTGTGGACGTGTACACGTGCCAAAACAAATACATACAAGCACAGCCATGTGCACATTAAAAAGACAGAGAGGTCACCAGATTCTTATGAGCTTTGGCTCTCAAAAGCCAGGCGAAATCTCTGGGGGCCGTGGGGGCCGGGGGGCCGGGGGGCCGGGGGCCGGGGGCCGGGGGCCGGGGGCCGGGGGCGGGGGGCCGGGGGCCGGGGGCGGGGGGCCGGGGGCCGGGGGCCGGGGGCCGGGGGCCGGGGGCCGGGGGCCGGGGGCCGGGGGCCGGGGGGCGGGGGCCGGGGGGCCGGGGGGCCGGGGGGATTGCACTTGAGCTTTTTCAAAAGTGACAAGTGGCAGAGATGCCATTGTTCAGGTTGGAGATCAAAGCTGTTCTTTGTATGAGAATGAAAATCGAGCCAGCGGAGGTGTCCATGGCCCCTGGATCCTTCGTTTTCCAGTTGTACTTTCTATGACTGGCTTCTGTCGTCTTTCTGTATTTTGATTTTCTACACTGATGCTTTGAAAACTAATTTCCTCTTCACATATACCTCACAGACTACTAAGTCAAAACTACCCACTGGCCCTTCTGTTCCCCTAAATAAAATCTGTCTTCTCTCCTTTTGACAGGGTAGGAAGTATAACTTGTCCTATGTGTGTGACCAAGGGGTCATTTGCAAAATTGCCTTATTATCCTATTATTTTCCAGGAGCTCTCTGTCCTGGGGTGCTAAGGTAGGGGTGTAAGCAATCTGTCCTCTAAGTGTATCACTTCATGGGCAATTTGCTGTGACATTAAAAAGAAAGCAACAAACGTTTAAAGGTGGCCAACGTCGAAGGTGCCCCAATGTCAACAAAAAAGAAAGACAGACTTAAGACTATAGGCTTTAGGGACATCTTCTGAGATACCAGTGGACAGACCACAAAACCTTCCCTAGAGCAATACCTCTCTATGTTCAGGTCACTCGTGGTGATTAGTGGGTCATGAAATCAATTTAATGGGTCATGACCAGAACAAAAACCAAAACAAAACATGAGGGGGGGAAAAAAAAAGAAACTAAAGCAGAATAGAAAGTTCTAGAGTCAATGTATGAAGCCTTGATTTAGGGATGAGTGAATGTGTGTGATGTGTTTGGTATACCATTCCCCAATATGGAATGTATTTCTTACTGTGGTTCGCACTTTAAAACTTTCAGAACTACACCCTGCTCCTGGAGTTGTCTCTGTGCAGGTTTCAAGGGACTTGCTCTGTTTGTACAAAAGCAGAAAAGAAAGTCCCCTCTCACAGCTCTGGTTAAGCTGTCCTCAGGTTGCTGAGTTCGACTTTTTGTTCTCTGAAACACAATTAGCTGAACGGGTCCAGGTTTTCTGTCCCCTGGGGGAATCTTCCTACCCTTCACAGGTGCCCAGTATTTGTACATTTTTACTTTCCCTCCCCAGTTTATCTCCTGTGACGATAGGCTGCCAAGCACATTAAACATCAGTAAAGGTGTCAACGCCCCATTCCAAACCAAGACACTGACATTGCAGGCAGATTCGAGCATTCCAGAATTTATCTGCAAGGGAAGGACATTTGAAAACTATTTTCCCAGCATTCTTGATGTCTAACCTGTGGTTAGCCTCATCCACTTACTGACATGTTCTTTTCTATACACATACACATCATTATTCCATTGATATTATTATTATTATTATTATTATTATTATTATTATTATTTATTTTGGCTTTTCCAGATAAGGTTTCTCTGTGTATCAGCTCTAGCTGTCCTCATACTAGCTCTGTAGACCAGACTGGCCTCGAATTAAGAGATACGCCTGCCTCTGCCTCCCGAGTGCTGGGATTAAAGGCGTGTACCACCACTGCCTCCCTGCTCATTGATTTTTTCTTTTTAAGTTTTTTCTAATTTTATTTACTCTTATTTTATGTGCATTGGTATTTTTGCCTGCATGTATTTGTGTATAAGGGAGTCAGATCCCCTGGAACTGGAGTTATAGACAGTTGTGTGCTGGGGATTGAACCTGGGTCCTCTAGAAGAGCAGCCCATGTTCTTAACTGTTGAGCCGTTTCCCCAGCCCCCTTGGTGATTTTTTAAAACATACATCTCTTTGATGTCTAAAAGACATTTGCTGTTCTTTTTTGTATTGTTTTGAGACAGGGTCTCATTCTATAACCCGGGCTGGCTGAGAACTCATTGTAAACTGGCTGGCTGGCCTTGAACTCACAGCAAGCCTCATGTCTTAATTTTCTGAGTGTTGGAATTATAAACATATGCTTCCACGCCTGGTTGGTTTTGTTTTGTTTTGGTTTTCTTTTAAGGAATTATATACAAAATTACTAGAAAATTTAGGAAAAGCCCAGCGGTGGTGGTGCACGCCTTTAATCCCAGCCCTTGGGAGGCAGAGGCAGGCGGATCTCTGTGAGTTGGGAGACTAACCTGTCCAGGACAGGCTCCAAAGCAAACCCTGTCTCGAAAAACAAAAACAAACAAAACAAAACAAAAAAGAGGAAGAAACCTTTTATCTCAATCAACTTTATATTTACCTTATACAACTAACTTGCTACTTGGCTGTTTTAGGGGTTGCTTTAGCTATATGACTATTCATCACAATACAATCACACCATCTCCGGTAACACTTGATCGATACACCGTTTCCAAGTGCCATGGTAACAACGTAAGACTGAATATAAGATTGTTACATAAAGACTTTCATCAAGCAACTATAATTTAAATACTCCCTTTGCTGCGCCTGCAAAGCATGAAACCTGCAGTGCTAAGTGCTTTCCACGTACATGTTCATGTCTTTTTTTTGCAGAACCACGTCAACATAAGCATCATCGTTTCTCCGGCAACTCCCCCACAGGCAGGGATGTATGACTTTGGCAGTAATGATCCCTGCCTGCGGCACACACAGCCGCACACCCTGAGGATGCCATTCAGCTCAAGTCCATCCAACTGCCTCCACTGGCTGGCTTTCCTTGTGCATGTACATCACTTCCCTTTCCAGTTGCAGCCGAAAACGTTTTCATTTTGAAGTAGCTCATCTGTCCTCTTAGGGACCAGGGCTATGAATATAAAAGCACCCCCAGAAAATTAAGAGTGTTTGGCTCTTGCTTTTTCAAATAAAGGACGCTGTCTCAGAGAGTGCTTCTCTACACTACTTTTAAAGCACCTGGCCTTAACTCGCTAGCTAGCTCAATGCTTTCCGTTTGCCTCTCTGCAGCCTGGTCATTTCCCCTCCAGCCACCTTTCTGTGTAGCAATGAAGGACAGGAGAGTAAAGGGCAGGCAGGTTGAATCATCCCTGCAGGCTGATGGCCTTTTTAACCTCTTTGGATCTACACCGGTAATTCTGTTCCCACACATCTTCATGGCACTGCTGGATGACTTCTACGAAGAACGTATTTTCCCTGGGCACACAGCTTCTTTATTCCCTAGCCCTCCATCTGCACAGTACATTTCAGTGGTAAGCCTTTTGACTAAAAGTCTGTCAGAAACCACAGACACTTATCGTTACCTCCCCGACCATGACAGCAAAAGCACCATGTTGATCTTATAATGAAATGGCCCGAGAAATAAATCAAAGTTAGGGATTTGCTTAAATCAGGAATGGAATGATTAATTACAAAATGTGGGTTCGGTCATCGCTCAGATTCCAAACTCCTAAATAACTTTCCTGTATTAATTCAGTTTTAAGTTTCAGGAAATAAAATAATCATGTAGTTAAACATAGATCCTTATGCAAACAAGTGGTGTGTTTACAATGTACCAATCCATTTACTTAAACCACAGACATTTGTGAGGGACCCAACAGACAAGCACTCTCCATTGGCTCACTCCTCCATGCAACAGCAGTCAGCATCCTACTGGAATCTGCTCTGAAAACAATGGTTTTACTGCCCTAATGTCAGGGCAAACAAATAGTAAAATGCCTACTTGATACCACTAGCCAGTGGTATCGTCTGCACTTTGCAAGACCTGAAACAATTAAATATTGGCATTTCTTTTTCCTTTTGAAAAGAAACCTTCCAGAAGGCATCTTTATAATATGTGTCTTGGTCACTTGAAAGAAATTAGCTTAGTAGCTGTTTGATGTAGAATTTGGGGGAAAACAAACCACCTCAGAGTTAGAAGAGATGAATGCATTCTGCTATAAGGGAACAAACAGTATGCAATGTCATGTTAGAATGCCCTCTCCCAATTGGGAGCTACCCAGAACCAAAGCCCTATCAAGTCAAGCTATAATAATCACCAAGACCACTATCTGAAGTCACATAAACAAAAGGAAAACCTAATCTAAGCACCAAGAACATAATAACAGTCAGGAACCTAGTCAGACTTTTTTTCTCGAGAGGAGGGTAGGTCATGACATGGCATACCTTTAGTTCTCTGAAGAAGATACTGCTCCTGGCCCACTCAACAATGGAGAAGAGGGTCTGGTCGGCCATTTTGCACATGAGCCCAAATGTGTTCAGCTTTTCATGCCTGTTCTTCACCTGCTCTTCCTGCAATTGAGCCGAGATCCTCCCTTGAATCCGAGGCTCGTCTGGCTCACACTTCAAAAGTTCCAGTATCAGGTGTGGGATGCTGGCTGGGGAGCTTGTCTGATAAGCATCCATGTAGGAGTAGCCCATCATGGACTCAGGTGAGCTGGTGTAGGGATCTGGGTACTCGGACTTGATGGCCCGGCTAGGAAAGTGGCCATATGGTTGGTAACCTTGCAGGCTGCCATGAGGTGGCATAGTCATACTAATTGGAGATGTAACAAAGGGACTTCTGTCGTAGTCTGTGGGAGGCAAGGCAGCATGGTTCAGAGGTAGGCCTTTAGAGGCAGAGTGAATGTTCTGAATTGCAGAGGAGATGGTCAGGTCTGAGGGCATCGCCTGGATCACCTGAGACATGGCTTCCAACTTAAGTCCATTGGCTCGGATGAGAGCTTTCTTCTGTTGCTTGAGGGCTCTGTCCCTCTTGTACATTGGCCCAAACTTATTTCTGCCTCCTCGCATGCGGTCAGCTCTTACGGCTGTTGACAGAGGAGAAAGGGAGGGTATATAAGAGGGAAGTTAGCATTTCTGCAAGATCTCTAGACATTTCAAATTACTGATAATTCACAGGAAGTGAACTGAGTGCGTGTGTATGTTGTGCGTCCATGTGTCTTCACTGCGATAACCCACACATATTCCAAGTAAAAATGTCTTCCTTATGACTTCAAGTGGGTTTTATTATCAAAAACATATTTTGGAAGCCCTGCCTCAACTAAAAAAGCTTCACAACAGATATTCCTTTCTGGGTGGGCCAGTTTCTAGTATGCAAGCTATATCATGATTTCTCATGGAAACCAAAATTGTGTACCTGCTGTGTACCCGTGTGTGTGTGTGTGTGTGTGTGTGTGTGTGTGTGTGTGTGTCTGGGTAATTTTTGTTTTCTTTTTGTTTTCTTAAAGAAAATCAACCCATTTCCTAACTAAGTACTTTTTCTCCCAACATCTTCCTCATCCATTGTGATTTTTGGACACTTAGTTACAAAGGTTAGAGACAGGTTCTTCTTGGAAAACCCCTCTCACCTGGACTTGAGGACACATCAGAAAACCACCATAGGTACTTTTGAATTTCAGGGGGATTAGACACAATGAAAACAAAGTCATTTTAAAAGTTGCCCAGAGGCCCTGCTGTTGCACAGGGTTGTGGGATGGGAGCCATGCCTAGAAGTTACTCAGAGCTCTCCAAGTCCACCACGGTGGCCAGTGGTCATTAGACAGAGTCCGGCAACCTGACAGCTTGGGGCATGTTGAGATTGCTGGAGGTCAAGTCATTGAGCTCCTTAATCTTAGGATTAGCACTCACATTAAAAATTTATTGTGAATTCTAAGTATCCATAATTCTACACTGGATCATAAGAATTTTCCATTTAGAGAATTCATCAAATATTCCATTGTTCTATGACCATCATTGAAATAAGAGTGTGGTGATGGACAACTCACAATTAGCACAGCATAATATTGACGTTAAAAACATTAAACATTCTTTGATTATGAGCTTGGAAAAAGAAAAAAACATTTTTAAAAAATCAAGTGGCAGAACGTGGAATCGACCATTTAAGTTTCAGCACTTTATCTTCTGCTCTTGTCTAATTAATAAGCATCAATTATTTCCTTTCTCAGTCTCCTAGAATTAGTCCCTATGCTAAAGCAAGTGGCTGTTTCTATTTGAACAGATTTGTTAGCAATTGTCAAATTTACTCAAAAAAAAAAAAAAAAAAAAAACGCAACTCTTTTTTTTTTCTTCAATGTATCTCCCAAGCGTGAGTTCTATACAACAGAAAACCTCCAAATAAAAGCATCTTGTGTCTCCTTGATCAAAGAAGCACATTCTAGCACAGTCGCTGGGTACCCAGCCATATTACGTTATTTGCAGTCTGTTTAATCTGTGGAAGGCCAGCAGGTCAAAGGCTGGAAAATAGCAGTGCACCATAACAGTCATGAAGTACAAATTATTTACAGCAGTCACATATTAACTTCGCTGGCTGCCAAGCTGAATGCCACAGCACAGGTCTTTCAGCAGTTTAGTATGACTTTTTAAAGGACAGTTCTCAGGTTCATCAAATCATTGCTACCGATTTCAGTCCATTGCTTTGCATGCTGTTTTTTCCCAGCTGCTAGGTTTTATAGATTCAGCCATTACCTTTTTCTTAAAAAAAAAAAAAAAAAGCATACTTTTATGCTATTAAAAATTGAAATGCTATGTAAGAAATTTCTCTTCACAATGAAAAACTTCCCTCAGGAACTATGAAATAAATAAAAGTAACTATGGCAAGTACAACAATTTTCTTTTTTAAAAAAATACTAGGACATCTCGACTTTAAAAATTAGAGTCATTTCATTTCATTTTTTTTAAAATGAATTGTTCTCAGACTTACTTCAGTCTTGTTGACTTTTTCAGTAGCAAATGCATCCTATTTCAAACTTAAAAGGAGAATGGAACAATTTTCATATTCTCTTTTTTTTCCCTAGTAGATGTTACCATGTTTAAATGACAGCTTATTCTACAGACAAAACATAAATTTCCATCATTGTCAGTACGTCTTAAAGGGTTAGAAAAGGAATGTCCCCATGTTCCACGTGGTGTTTTAAAGTCCGTGTCCCAGGAGACTTAAGTGGCAGAGTCTTACCTTCTAGCTTCATTCCAACACTTAGACATTTTTGGAATCGACAGTAAGGACAACGTTTTCTCTGTGTTTTGTCAATTTGGCAGTTCTGGTTTTCTATACATGTGTACCTTTTATTGTTCTGGACTGTTCGTTTAAAAAACCCCTACAAGACAGAGAAAACAGTGAGGCACGTTTTAAACCTAACCTGCTGCTGCTTCTGTTGTTTTTACTAGAAGGAAACCACCAGTAAACCCTTTCATTTGTGCCCCTGAGCCCTTGTGTGCGCCTGCGGTTTGCTGGCATTTCAGTAAGACCAAGCCTCCTGCAACATTGCCAGGGCTCAGGGATGATTCTTCTGGCCTGGGAGTTATATTCCTGAAGAGTTACGTCAATTTCATACAGTTTTGTTCCAATAGTCGGGGGGGGGCGGGGAAGACTCTATATTGACCAATGAATTTTTTTTTAAATATGATTTCCTATTAACATTAATGTTCCAAAGAGCCGTAAGACATAAGAGCCCTGTGCTGTATTTAGGTAGTCTCATACAATCTCAGTCACAGACCATTGTAAAATGCTAGCTAGAGTTAGAACTGAATAGCAAAATACCTCAGATCTTTTACAAATGTCAACACTCGGCAGTTAAAAGGAAAAGGACTTCAAGAGCAAAATGGGGAACGCTGTTGATGCCACTGGACCCCATTCAAGGGTGGGGACTGTGTTCTTAAAAACTCAACTAATAGAAAAGATATACACAGGCAGAGACTCAGAGACATGCGTACAATCAGAAGCAACTGCAGCCAAGCGCATGGTCGGTGCCTTGTACTCAGGGGACAGGTCAGAGATGAAGTGTATGGGCTTCCAAATAGAGTGCCACCTCTACTAAGATGGCACCCTTGAGTATCTGAGTGATCACAAACAAAAACAATCTTATGTTGTTGTGGAAAATGAAGAGGGGTGGGGGCCTTCCTAGCCATGGTTTAAATAAATGCCCTGGATTTTCTACTTTAAAGAATGTGTTGGGGGAAAAAAAATAAATAAAATTGCATTTATGGGGACTTAAAAAAAAAAAACTAACACAAATCCTCAAGGTCTTGACAAGATTAGTAGTAAAAGATATTGACCACACTCAAATTCCTGCATTTAAATAAGTCATGTGATGCACTTAAGAAAATTGTTCAATTAGAAACTAAAATCTGGTTTCTTGGTACCTTGATATTAAAAAAAAAAACTTTAAATTATTTTTTGGAATCCATCAGCATGAAGTCATGCAGCAGGAAATTAAGACCTTCGTGTCTTCTGAATTAAAAAAAAAAAAAAAATGCTCCAACTTGCAGCACAGATTACTCTCAAGTTAAAACGTTCTTGGGATATACTTTGTCATGTTTCCTTTCAAGAAGGATATCTTCAATATATATACGTCACCCAAAATCAATATTTAGGACAGTTAGAAATGAAGTCCTCCTATAGATACATCGCTACAACACAATAAACTATGTCGAAGCCGTGAGACTGTATGAGTCTTCTAAAGAACATGAACATAGGTATCTTTGCCTTTAGAACTAAATCAGACATATTTTAAGTCTCCTTACCACATTCCTCCCCACCTCATTTTTTGTTGTTGTTGAAAAAAGAGAGAGAGCAGCTTAAGTTTAGCTTTGAAGGATAATTCACTGGGTTTTTTTTTGGGGGGGGGGTCCTGAGCATTCTATTTCTTAGTAGCACTGGACAGCGAACCTTGCAGCTTTCACAGGTGAGGAGACCGTAATGGTACCCGGATACTTTATCGCCACACACAGGACATAGCTCTTCGAGATCTTCATCATAGGAGTAATTCACCATTTTAAACTGAGACACTGTAACAAAGAGAAATGTGCACACATGTCCTATTAATTTCCAATATAGTTTTTTTTTTTTTAAAGGCATTTTGGTGGTTGTCGGCCAACTTACCACCAGGTTTAAAATATAAAATAATGTTTACCCAACTGGTACTGGTACTGAAAGGAAAACATCTTTGGACATCAATGAGTATACACCTCAGAGTTTTAAATTTAAAAATAATTCTTTTTTTTTTTTTTTTGTCGACATCTTAAACTGACCACTGTTCAGTTAAGCCAACAGATCAGAATAGAAACACGAACCACATAAACAACCTAAAATCTCTCTTAAACCTCTAATGTTCCAAAATGTCACCTTTGCCTAATGGAACACCTGGCTGTAAGGGACCGGCACACTCTGTATGAGAACACCTGGCTTTGTGGGGCTAGCAATGCTAATGTACACATGCTACTTTGAAGGGCAGTGAACACCCAGAAACTTGCTTCTCAGAAGCAACCCCCCTGTAACAACAGCCTGTGGCCCCCAGGGTTCAAGTCTGTTAGATTAATCAAAACATTCAGTTCCGTATAGACTGTGCTTCTGTTCTGGACACTTTCATCTCCTCACGTTTGAAAATGCCCTGTGAAAATAAAAACAAGGAAGAGACAGGACACCCGGAAGAGGGGGGGCAGAAACAGACGAGGAAAAGAAAGACACCGAGGGTTTAGCAGAATTCTAGAGCTTTGGAAATGAACTTCACAAGCTTCCTAAAGTACAAACACCTCCAAGACCACCGTAGCATTTGGGCTCACCGTGGGGAATACTGTGGCTAGGACACCGACCCCCAAACACCCTATTCTTAACTGTACACATGAACATCAGTGGCCAGCAGACCCCAAGGAACTATCAGATGAGACTGAAAACTCATTTCGGTCAAGTCCCCACCCCTACTCCCAAACCAGCTGGCAATCAGAGCAGGGATGGACCAGCATCCAGGCAAGAGGCAGGTCTGTACAACTGTTCACCACCGGTAATCCCAGCACCCTCTTTAAACCCTAATATGCTCTGGCTCTGGGCCCCTTGCTCAACCCTCTTCTACCCAAAGGATCACAAACTCCAAAGAGAGTTTGCTTTAAGTTAATCAGTGGCATTGCAAGGGGCGGGGCGGGGGAGGGGTGCCCACAGCCTGGCAGGTTTCCTCAGATTTGTTTACTAAAAAGGAAATGGAGAAATAACCCCTACCCCATAGCCAAATTACTATGCCTCTTTATCACCGGGTAATATTCTTAGTCTTTTAAAATAAAGTTAGTTTTTATTTTTAGTTGTTTTTTTTTTTTTCCTGAATCTTGAATCCGACAAAGCGGCAGAGCTTAGCTTATGTTAGCCCAGAGAGTAAGCAACAGTTTGCAAAGATCTCAGGAAGAGGCCCCAGCAAGAGCAGTCCCTAGACTCAGAAACTTAGAAATAAGGGATGCTGAGTGTGCCTCTCTCCTCAACGAAGCCAGCTTGACTTCCAACTCTCAAGAAGCGGCAGCCCCAGGGTTTGGGAAAAGCTGTGGGTTAGGGAAGTTTGTTTAGCAGGCTCTGAAAAGTCTTGACTTCTGTTTCCAGGTGCAATTCTGAGCCTAGGGGGAAACAGTGCTTTCCTAGATGTGTGTTCTCTGTCTCTCAACAAAGGGAACTGTAACTTCACGTTTAAAGAGTATGGGGTTGGCAACCACTTATACTATCTGTGCCCATCTGGGAGATAGATGCCACATGTTAAAGGCCCATCTTCCAGCAAAATCCAGAGTCTGTGTGGGGAGAGAGGCAGCTGGGGAGGCTTGGCCATTGTTCTGGTTTCTTGTTTTGTTTTGTTTCCCATGGCCCTCCCTCACCACCCCTACCACCCGAATTAAGAGTTGAACTAACTACACCCAGGAAAGAAATACCAGGTAGCCCGGAGAAAGGAGGGAAGGAAGAGCCAGTTCTTGAAAATATCTGTCCTCTTGGGACTTCCCTGAAGTTGGATGCCCCATGCTGCCAGAGAATCCAGTGGATTCTTTCTGGCTCTGGCACTCACCTGAGCAGGGGTGCTCAGCTTAAGCCGCACCAGGCTTTTCCCAAGCTGCTTTCAAACCCAGGGCCAAGCAACCTAGGGCTGGATCAGCTAGCCCCACCCCCCCTCAGCACAACGTCAAGCTAATGTCATAGCTTGAAGGTTGGCGACCTAGAAGAGCCCTCTCAACTTAAAAAAAAAAAAAAAAAAAAAAAAAAAAAGCTACCAGGGCATCTCTCTCCAGTCCTCCGTATATCCTGTATTTTGCTCCATTGCGGGCGCTGCTTTTCCCGCCTCTGAGATCGGCTACCCCAAATGTCTGCTTCGGGGCAGGAAGTAGCAAGAACCCGGTCCTCCTGCCGGGAGGAAACTTAGCAGGGTTGGAGGGCAGAGCGCAGGAAGGAGGGCTGGGGATCCCTGGGGCACCTCTCTTTGGGCCAACAAGGCTCTCTTAGCAACACACACACATAAAGTTAGCCTGGGGACTTTGGTCGGGGAGCTTCTAGAGCCCTACCCAAGGACTTGGAGAGACCCCAAGATCACCCAGGATAACTGGCTCACCTACATGCCTGTCACCCCTTTTCTCTGTAAGACAAGCTTAGGTTTCCCAGCCGGAGCGCACGGCTGCCGGCGACACGCAGCCTACCCCGCTTAGTAGAGTGCAATAACCAGGAGCAAAGCGCTGCTCTCAACGCCTCTCTGACCGCTTCAGTTTCGCGCAAAAGGGCAGCAGGAAGCTTTGCGGATCACAAGCCAGCTGACCCCGCACATCCTGAACTCTGGTAGGGGCGAAGATGTTAGAACTTTTCCTAGCGTTGTTCCCACCATGGCCCGTCGCTAATAAGATAAAGTTCTGAAGAGTTTCGGCTTTAGAAAATACAGCGGATGAGATTTGATCTTTTTCTGGTATCAATCAAGAACAGGTACACAAATGGAATTATCTTTACTCTCTGCTGGGTGGGGGTCAACAAGGCAATGAGCTAAACCTGAGTACCCCAATCCCGCACTGGGAACTATGCTGGTACTTAAGTTACACCAGCAGTTTGAATTGCCCAAATCCTTGCCGTGTGCTTTCGGCTAGACTTTTGGGATGTGTGCATGATTCTAACACCAGCTATCTCTCTACGATTGTCTCTTATATATACTCGCCTTTCCTAGTTAGCCTTTCCCCTCCACACGGTAGCATTAAAGTGCGCGACAGTTCCAACAACAACCAGCGAGGGAATCCCATTCCCCAGAAAGATTATTCCATGGTACCCTAAGCCTTAAGCTGCCTCCGCTCCACTTGGCTGTGAGTTCGAAGTCTCTCTACTTAATTAGAAGTGGCCAATTAGACATCGATGAGAAACCACCGTCCGCCTAGTTCAAGTGCCATTAACTTTTATGCTCGCTCCTAAGGATGAGGCCGAGGCCGGTGCAGTGCGCGGCCGGCTGAGACCTGCCAGCCGGGCTGCTCTGCTGTCCACGCCGCAGGAGGCTGAAGCCCGCACGGTTAGCCCGGGGGGCGGAAAAGCCAGGAGCGGCAGCGCCCGCCGCACCACAATCCCTTACCTTGCATGTTTTCCGGCATCTGCCCCTGTTCCCCATGCGATCGGGTCAGTCCCGGAGCTTCCGTCTCCACTTTGGGCAGCATGACAAGGCGGCTGCGGGCGGGAACGCGGGGTCGGTGTCGGTCCGGAAGCCCAGCACCTGGACACGGGCAGCACAGATTCAACTCCGGCGGAAAGAGAAAAGGGGTGACCAGCGTGCCCGCTCACCCACCCGCTCGCCGCGGGAGCTGCCGGCCAGGACTTCGGAGCCCTGTCGGGTCCCGCAGCTGCAGAGATGGTCCCTGAGCTGCGGGGAAGGTCCCCGCCTACCAAGCCACACTAAGAAGACCGCTTAGTCTTGCTGCCGGGGCTCGGCCCCGCAGAGGCAGAGGCAGCGGCCGCCAGGGCGCTGCTGCCCGGGACAGCGATCTCTGCGCGCCGCACTCCGGAGGGCAGCAGAGGCGGCCGCCGGCTGTGACGGCTGCAGCGGCTGAACGGTTCCAGGACGCCTTCCCCTCCCTGCACCCGCCCTCTGGCTCAGGATCGGCAGGGGTCTCTCTCTCTCCTTCTCTCCCCTCCGCTACTGTCCTCGCCTCTCTTCTCCGCCCCTTCCCCCTATCGCCTTCGGAGCTCTCAATCGCTACCGCGAGTGTGGAGTTCTGAAGTTCCAACCTCCCACTCCTCTCCGGTCGGGAACGACCCTTTCCAGCCCCGAGGGTGACAGGACCCGGAGAAAAGGGGAAGACCAGCTGGAGAAGGGAGGTAAGGGGGATGGGGTGAGGAGGGGGGGTTGAGAGGTGAAGACACTGAATGGGGGACGCAGGTTCCGGACTCAGGTCGGACACTAGCCGCTAGCCAATAAGGAAGCTCTGGCCTCTGGTGCCTGCCCCAACCTCTTCACCCCGCCTCAATCTACTCCCACTCCACCCTGGCCTGGGGCGGGAGGAGTGGGTGGGGGATGTAAATGCTACTACTGCTGTTGAGAAGCGACCTGTGTCTGAGCGTAGCGGCCAAGAATCTGAAGGCTGAGAGGCCATTTCAAAGAGCTGAGCTCAGGGGAGGCAAGGAGAGCTGGGGTGTGTGAGCGTGGGTGGTCCTTGCGTGAGTGTGGGGATGAGGAGGCCCGAGAGGAGTGAAGTGCCCACTTAAAACACCTACAAGAGAAAAGGGATGTTCAATTCGTAAGTGGAGGGTGGTTGAAACCCCTATCAAGATCCTCCCTGCAAGCAGCCATCTGAGAGGCACACCCTGAGTGGCTGGGCCCCCAAAGGACCCAAGGGCTGAGGCTCACTTTAGAGACAACTAAAGTGGCTGAGATTTCTCTCACTCGCACGGAATCTGAGTAAATGACAGCCGTTCCTGCGACTCCATTCTGCCCAGGTCCCTGCTTATGGAAAATACTCTTTCTCTGGAGAGAGAGAGAGAGTCCAAGATTATCTTGGTGACAGACTTCCTGATTTCAGTGAGAGCCGTGTTTCCACGCAGGATGGAGAGATCAGACCCTGACTGATAGTCCCTTTGGTGAAGCGGATCCACAAGAGGCCCTGAAGCTCAGCATTAAAAAAAAAAAAAAAAAAGTTTTAAAGAACCATCTGTTATGCTCGCTCTTAGGCCACCAGTCAAGCCCCAAATCTTCAAAGTTTTCAGATCTCATCCCAACAAGATGAAAATCATTCTCCCCAGTCTCCAACATGCATGCAAAAGCTCCATATCCAGGGTCTGCCTGCAACTGGGCAATTATCAGAGTCCACCCAAGGGGGTAAATTTGAATCTCAAAAGACCTGAATTTATTCTATTTAAATGGCATAGAGATCACATATAAAGTGCCCAGTCTAGTATTTAATGAATATGAAATTATTCCGCTCGTTGCTTACACTTCTATATGAAGTGGGCGGTCCACTTACGGCTAGCAATGCAAATATATTGACTCTCCACACTCAAGTCTCTTTTTGCTTTAAAGCATACATATTCAGAATCCAAAGTATTTAACTTTAAAAGTTTCTGTAGCATCTTTAAATCTCCTCATGAGGCCTAAGCAAGTCCTGTCCTCTAGTCGCTAGAACAGAGGGGGCCCTGCCAACTAGCTCGTAAGGAGGAGTGGGCTGAATTTGCCTATATTAGCCATCATTAAGCTCAAGTTTTCACGGTGGTGTCAAGTCACAATGTCAATACATTTTCAGAGTTGCCCGCTATTTAAGACATCACTTTGAATTACAAATACATATTCTTAACATAGTTCAGAAAGGGAGCAAATCTCCAGGCTCAAATCATTACTCACCGCCTGCTTTACCCTGGGGTTCAGGCAAACTTAAGAAATCACTTCTATTTCAAAGCTTTAAAAACAGGCTCCTCTCACCACAGTTCCAAGAGTTCATAATAGCCTTTGTTCATCATCTTCCTACCCAGCAGCCAAGAAGGACGCAGTACTCCAGCTTCTTGGTATACACTTTGTGGTACCAGGGGAGGTTCTCAGAGTTGGAGGAAACTGAAATAAACTCTGTCAGGCCCTTGTGATCTTATTGTGAAGGGAAAAAAAAAAAAAGTAGTCAGAAGCAGAGGCTGAGGCTGACCCAGTGAGGTGAACTTTGTGGTCAGGCTCCTAGCACCAGCTTCTGGGCCAAAAAAGGACTTGCTTAGGCCAAGTTAGTGGCTTCCCTATCCAGCTCAATCTGTCCTCCCAGCAAGAACTTCTTCCAAAGACAGAGTGATGTGTGCCAATGGCCAAAGGGGCTTTCATATCTTCCCACAGGTAGAAAAAGCCTCATAAATGAGGGGAAAGACAGGGAATAGGTGTTCAAGACAAAGTTTAAAAGAATCGGCCTTTGACATTTAAGTAATGCCTTCTGCCTGCTCGGGGTTCCCAGCCTCAGTCTGGCCTCCAGCTGAATGGGTTCCAAAGGGTAGAGGTCTGAAGAATAGAGAAAGTGCCTTTTTTGCCTGGTGTAATAGCTCCCACCTTTATCCCAGCACCCACAAGGCAGAGGCAGGAGGATTTCTGTGAGTTCAGAGTCCAGCCTGGTCCATGGTATCTAATTAGCACAGGTCAGCCAAGGCTACACAGTGAGACCTTGTCATTAAGGAGCACGTGTACACACTTACACACGCACTTTTTCTCGAAACAAAAGGAACTCTGACTACACCACTAGCTCCAGGATACCTAAGATCAGCCTTATTTCATATTCCCAGAGTCTTTTAAAACCACCGCCGGAGGTTTTCAGGGTGGGAAATCCGCGGGAGCTGGGTTTTGTCGGAAATTCAAGGGCACACTCACGTTCCCCTCCACCCCACCCCGAGTCGTTCCTCAAGTTTGGGGGAGTGGCCGAGTCTCCCGCAGGAGGGATGAGGGAATCAGGCTTCCACGCTCATCCCGAGTACTCCCTCCCAGGGCCCTCTAGACTACCCAGCACACACTCTGGGCCCTTCGTCCTCCAATTCCATTGGGGAGAGACAACACTTTCGCAGGACACGTGCTCCAACAACGTTCTCTCTAACGCAGAGCTGCACGAAGAGGAGGCAGCGCCCAGGGTGTCCACCTCCTTCTACTACCTGGGATGGCTCTAGATTCCTATGGCTTCAGATGAGGTTAAGAGAATAAATAAATGGCTGGGAAAGAGGAGATAGTTTGGGATGAAAGAAGGTGCATCAAGGATTATATGTTCTTTAAATGCGATGCCAACAAACGTCAGCAGGGTCTCCAGAATGCATCAATCGTAACCTGGAACGCACACCCCAGCCTCCGCAGGAGCTATGTATTATCAAATGCCACTCAGCCTCCCTATGGAAGCACAAAACCTCAGTCTTACTTCTGGCGGAGACTAAAAAGACAAGTTCCCCGCAGCTACCGGCGAGTGTTCCGAATTTCTCCGGCACTCCCGGGTCAACTTCTAGCAAACTTCTCCCTCCTTACCCCTCCCCCGCGCCTCCTCCTTTCCAGCGTCGGTAGTCTCCGGGGCTCGCCCTTCCCGGCTTTGACTTTGTCTTCAAGTGTTGATTGACGGTTGCAATTACAAAGGATGATAGCTCGGGGAGGCTCCCGCAGCCTTGATGAGCCCGAGAAGCGCAGGCCTGGCATATTTTATCCAACCTCGGCGTTCCGGGGCCGTGCGCGCCCCATTCACCCAGCTGGCTGGAGCTGGGGAGGTCTCGCACTCCCCACCCACGAGGATGCAAGTGCGGGTTCTCCTCCCGTCCTCTCCCTGCCCGAGGTCGCGCGTCGCGCGGTGGAGCGCGCACAGAGAACAGTCTGCCCTTGACCTGACCTAAGTGCCCGCCTGCCCCTCGCGCCCAGCCTACTCCAGGCTGCAGCTGAAAAAAATATCAACATTTTCAGGACCAATACAAATCCCCTGAACACTTGAAGCAGAGTAACAAACACCCATTTCCCGCGCACCTGGGAAGATGAATCTTAGAGAGACCCGCCCAACTTAGCAACAAAGTTGCAAAACTTTATCCCGGTAAACAAAAGTCTAAGGCTTACTCCTCGGTTCCCACTTTCTCTCTTTTAAAAAGAAACAAAGTTACCTTTTTTGTCCTAAGTATCTAGGTACCATCTACTTCTCAGGCCCCGGAAGAATCCTACTTTTTTTTTTTTTTTTTTAAGTCTTCTCCACCTGGTCACGACAGTCCAAGGAAAAAGAGAAACGAATTTTATCAGCTCCTGAAGCTCGAGCTTCCTTATTTTCCCCCCCTCCTCCCACTTGAAAAGCCCACCAGAAGCTGCAAAAGTCAGTTGAGCAAATACTGCATTTTGCCGGCGGGCTCTGGGGATTGAGCTCCCAGGCTCTACACCCTTACCCCGGGCGCTTTTTTTTTTTTTAAAGAACTGAGCTCGTTTCAGCACAGCTGAAAGCTATGGAGCACCTTACTGTTTGTCGAAACAAAACACAAACTCGGAGTCGTCTTTCCTCCTTTTAAAAAACATTTTAAAATCTCCCTTTGTGTTGCACTACAGACCCACTGCCGGGGTGGGCATCCCTTCTGGGGGCAGGCAGCCAATTCCCCGACTTTGGGCAAACCCGCTGATTCACAAGCCCTTTCGGGAGTGTCCTAATAAATACCCCCTCCCGGGCTTTACGCCGTGGAAAATGCTGGTCCAAACAACTGTCACAATAATCCCTACTTCCGACCTCCACCCCGACGCCCTCCCATCCTCAAAAGAGGTTTTTTTTTTTTTGTCCTCCATTTTTGGAATTTAAGGCTCTTTATATTTAAAATGACGTCACTGGGAACTTTCTTCAACCCCGGGTCCAAGCG